ATTAATTTTTAATTTTTAGATTAAATTATTGAAAATAATTAAATTTACCCGGAGGGTTTATACTCAGTTACACCAAACGTTAATTAGGGATCAACATAATACAAATAATCCAAATAGATTAACAGTAATTTTAATATGTGAAACTTGCGCCAACTACCTTCTAGATTTTTATTTGTAGTGTGGGGTACATTAGTTTATACTATATAACAATCCAGGTTTTGCTATTATGTTATTTACGTTATACAAGATCCTAAAACTTTATCGGCCTTAAACCAACTTTAGGTTTGAAAATATTTTGTTTTAATGCGCATGATCTTAAGTAATTATTAAATGACTTCTAAGCGATTAACGCATAAATTAAAATCGATTTATGTTCTAGAACTGTCTCTGTAGCAAGATTATTACGTGTATTATATTATAGTATCTGATATGTACAATATTATGTGGCTTTGTATGAGTATATTGTAGCTTATACGTAAATCATTATAGTTATTTGTTTCACATGATTTAACTTTCGAAATCATAGAAATAGGAACTTTCTCTTCTGTTTCTGTTCTTGTTTTTTATTTTTATTAAAAAACGTCTTTTAATTTTAGTATAATGAGCATCAACTATATTAATACACAAGATAATATAATATCAGGTCAAGAACAAAATAATACACCATCGGTTCAGGAGACTAATTTTCAAAACGACCTGTTTTTAGATCAAGAAAATGATTTTGAACAACAAGATAATGAATGTAACATACCATCGGTTCAGGAGATTAATTTTTAAAATGACCTGTTTTTATATCAAGATAATGAAAGTAACATACCATCGGTTCAGGAGATTAATTTTCAAAACGACCTGTTTTTATATCAAGATAATGAAAATAACATATCATCAGTTCAGGAGATTAATTTTCAAAACGATCTGTTTTTAGATCAAGATAATGAAAGTAACATACTATCGGTTCAGGAGATTAATTTTCAAAACGACCTGTTTTTAGATCAAGATAATGAAAATAACATACTATCGGTTCAGGAGATTAATTTTCAAAACGACCAGTTTTTAGATCAAGAAAATGATCTTGAACAAGATAATGAAAATACGCAAATACTATATGTTGGATTATCATTCAAAACTTGGGTGCAGGTTAAAAAATGGTTTGAAATGTTTGGTCTTCAACAAGAATTCAGTTTTAAGATCAGAAGAAGCGAATATGATAATGGTATTAGACGACTTACTTATGAATATACTAAATCCGGTCAAAATGATGCACAAATTACTGTAGATCCTAATAAACGACATAACACTTCTTCACAAAGAACCGGGTGTTTTTGGCATGTGAATTTGACATTCTCCAAATCTAGTAGTGTTATTAAAGTTCCCTCATTTTACAACATACATAATCATCCTATGAATCTTATGATTAAAGAAATAGCACTTCAATTTCATAAATTCACTTCTGAAATACTTGCTGACATTAAGAAATATGTAGTTACAGCTCGAATGGATTCATCTTCAATTTATCCTTTACTTACCCATGATTATCCTGATCATACAATCAACAAACAAGATTTATATAATGCCATATATAAATTTCGTCAACAAAATAGCCCTGGAGAATTGGATGCATCACAAATATTGTAATTATTATTGCAATAGAAAGATAATGAGCCGAGATGGATTGTTAAACCTCGTATCGAAAGCGTTTTAAAACGTTTAATTTCAATTATGTGGATGTCACCTTCGCAGGTAGATTTGTATTTGCAGTATCCTGATGTGATTATTTTAGATACTACTTTTAATACAAATCAGTTTCGTTTAATACTATGTATGATTATTATTATTGATGGTAATTATAAATTTCGTATTGTGGCTGCCGCTTTTCTTGAAGATGAAACTCAAGAATCATTTGATTGGGTGCTTAATATTTTGTGTTAAGAAACTGAACAATATCCCAAATCTATTTTTACTGATTCGGATCTGGCCATTATAGGTGCTCTCAAGGATGTATTACCAGAAACTAAACATTTTTTATGCATATTTCATGTTGATTTAAATTTGAAAAAAAAATTAAGAGGTAAATTAGGACAACGATTTGAAGATTTTGCTGAAAATTTTATACATATCGCAATAGTCTTTCCAAAAGATTATTTGAAATTCAATGGTCTTTATTAATTAAGGAATTTCCTAGTGTTGAGAAATACATGACTGAGATCTTGTATAAGAATAAAGAATCTTGGGCAACCGCGTGGATTAGTAAAAGTTTTACTGCTGGAGTACAGAGTACCCAGCGAATAGAATCAATAAATAACCTTATTCTTAATAAGGTAGATCGTGCAGCATCATTACTTAACTTATTGTGTGTGATTAACGATCAAAGTAAGAATGAAAGATATTTGAGAGATTTGAGGTTCAAAAAAATGCTATACCAAAAATTGGTTTGCCAATAATTTCTACACAATTTTTTAATCAAGTGGATGAGATGATAAAAGTTTATTTAAATCCAATTATTCTCAGGAAGCAACGAAATCAAATGAATGAATCGCTCTGTTACAATGTTCATCTTATTATACAATGGTATAATATTATATCAGAACAAGAGAACGCGGATAGTAATGAGGAGTTATGTACAGAATATAGAGAAATAGAATATGATGCTTCTCAAATAATTTTTAGCTCTTTAATTGAAAACATTTCTCATGATCAAATTATTTAAGTTTGGCACGTTAAACGGACTGGATGTTTAGGAACTAGTAATTATATTATATTACTTAATGATGGTTCACATCTTTGCACATGTATGATGTTAATTAATAGGGGTATTGTTTGTTGACATTTCTTTCGAGTTGGGATCTACTCAAGTTTAGCAATCTTTCATATCAATCTTGTCTCTTCGTATTGGTTTATAAACCCAAATATTACAGAAAATGATCTTCTTTATCAAGTTCAGCCTATTAAACTTTCAAGTTGTTTGGACAACACAGATGCTTTACCAATGCAACAAGTCTCATTGAATTACTTATCATTAACTCGAAATAATAGAACTTCTAATCATACTGCTAAGAAACCTAAAGTTCTATATGCACAACTATTTGGACTTTCTAAAAAGGTTGTTGATTTAGCAATTCAAAACGATATGTGTAAAGAGCTCGATACACTTCTAAAGAATTTTATTACAAATGCTAAATCAAAAATAGAATCATCTGAATATAGAATTTTTACAGATATAGAAATAAATAATCCGGTAGTTGTAAGGCATAAAGGAAGGCCTTCGAAAAGGTATAAAACTAGTGCTGAAATGACTTAATCTGTGACAAGATATAGACAAACTAGTACAGCTAATAATCATGAAAGCAATCAAGAAACTACACAAGGTAAAAAATGTAGCAAGTGCAAACAAATAGGTCACTATATTAAAACATGCCCAAATTAGTTAAATTTGAGTATTATATCAGTATGTAGTGCATAAGATGTGAATTGTTAAAAGATAGCATATTATCAGTTTAAAATTGTTTATCGGTAGAATTGGTAACAAATTAATGTATAGCTGCATTGATTCACACTGGAGAATACATATAATAAATGAAATTCTAGCGTGAAAAAAAATTATACGTGATTGTTATGTAGATGGCAATGTAATAATAAGATATTCAATCAATTTAATCACGAGTGCAGAAAAACTATGCTAAAATCTTCCGATTGGTTGATAGTATGATATTAACGTTTATCCATGAACAACTTGTGTATTATTAGCATTTTTAAGTTTGATTCCTTAATTTGCAAAGTGAATAGCCGAACATATAAATATTGATTTAATGTCATTTTGGTGAGTTTATCTAAAGTCCAACTTCATTGCTAGTAAATTCAAAATTTTTAATTACTCAAAAATGAAATAACATTGATGATTCATATATGCATATTAATAGACACAAAATAAATGAACATTCATATAAACTAACGGCTGGCTATAATTATAAAAGCAAGTATTTTGAACAGAGAATATCACGCACATGTTATGCCTGAAGTTGCACTTGACTGAAGTTAGTTTTTAAATTGGATCTTGCATATGTTAGTAAATTTACCTCAAGCAACTTCAAGCAAGCGTTGATTTCAGGTATGATATATATGTGTAAAATTTTTACTTAAATGGGATCGTCTAAAGTCAGGTGTGTTCATGTGACCAAAAGCCAATCAATAGTAAATTTTAGATTTACCCAGATTAGCCCAACGAAAACAAAGAAAAAAATGAAAACCACAAAAAATAAAGAAAACGAATGTCTAAACATGTCTTGGGGCACTAATAAAAAATGCTGTAAAGGCAATTTTATCACTTCCTTAGTCCCAACTTCTAACCAATGTTTACCCTAAATAATCAAAAATATATAAACAGATCTTGTTTTAGTCATCCCCTTAAACGGATAAGCACTGGCTAATAGAATTAACATTCATGAAATTTATTTATGCATAATATTTAGATAGCATTAAGTTATAAGTGATATAAGTATATACAGTGTTCTATCACTATTATAAAATTATAGTAATAACAATATCACGTAACCATGCGGGTATATACCTACCGGGTACGAATAGAAATTCTCTAAATTATTTATATTATATATTAATTTAAATTAAATTTATTAGTGTGAAATTTATTTTAAATCTTTATATAAAGTTCATTTATTTAGAATATTTAATGATGCTTTTCCACATCAAGTAAGTATTATATAAATTAAAATAAAATTAAATAAATATTTTAATTTTATTTTAATTTTATTATAATTTATAATAAATATTAATATTTTATTAAAATAATTTTTATATAAATTTTTATAGATAAATTATCTTATTAAAGAAAGTGAATTAGTTGGTAAAAATGCAGATACTATTATTTCTTTAATTCATAATTATTTTAAATTATATGGTCTAGAAGAAAAAAGATTAATTATTCATGCAGATAATTGTACTGGACAAAACAAAAATAATGCAATGATAGCATATTTAGCTTGGAGAGTTTTAACAGGATTACATAATAGTATTACCTACTGTTTTATAGTTGCAGATCATACTAAATTTAGTCCTGATAGATTTTTTGAACTTATAAAATTATATTTAAGAAAATCTGAAGCAGATAATCTTGATGATTTGGTTAAAATTGTAGAAAATTCAACACCAGGTAGATTTAATATAGTACAAACAGTTTTTGATAATAATGAAAATCAGGTTGTACATTTTTATAAATAGACTAATTGGTTAAAACAACAATTTACAACAATTCCAAATATATTGAAACAACATTATTTTGAATTTAATAGCTTACAACAGGGTAAAGTTAAAATTAGTACTTCTTCAGATAGAGAAAAAACAACAATTCAAATTCAAAAAATTAGACAAAAAGAAAATTTTAACCAATTAGTTGAAAAAAATTACCTGGTTTTAGTGCAGAATTTATATGATCAGATAAGAAATCATATACAAAATCCTGATAAAAAAAATGATTTTTGTCTAATACCTACTGTTGCTAGATCAGTAAAATCTAAATAAATTTATTTTTTACAATTATTAATTATAAACTTAAGATAAAATAATTTTAATCCTAATTTTTATTATTAAATTTTAAATTTAAAATTAAAATTTTATTACTAAGATTATACAAACTTAATAAATCAATTTTTATAATTTAACTATGTCAAAATTTACAAAACTAAAAAAATTAAATATATTTACTATTTAAATAAGTTTTTTAAAAAATTTATAAAAAATTTTGTTTTTTTATAAAAGAAATATATCTAATTTAATGCAGTTTCTAATTTGACGCATGATAAAAAGTTCAAGAAGAATTGATTAGAATCACATAATTATGATACTATTTGATTTGTCTTGTTGATACAAATTGAAAGGTATCAAAAATTATATGATTCTGATTAATACATTTTGAGATACTTCATTAACTAAAATAGCCCAAGATAGATATAACTAATTTGATGCAAATAAATACTTACAATAAATATCATGTAATATAGCAATCAGAATCATAAGATTTTGGTACAATTTAATTTATTTTGATGAAATAAATCAAATAGTACCAAAATCTTGCAATTCGGATTAATGTACTATATAATATTTATTATAAATGTTATAATTGTATCAAATTAAGCACTATATCAAAAATTTTAACATTTTTTAAACAACCTTTAATAAATAATATCTCATGATTTAGTGATTAGAATTGGATGATTTTGGTATCATTCAATTTGTCTTGATGAGATGAATCAAATAATACTAAAATCATTTAGTTTTGGTTGATATATTATGTGATATTTACAAAAATTTTAACTGTGTCAAAATAGAAATAAATTCCTTATATATAATTTTTTTAAAAATAAATAAAACCAAATACAAAATTATTTTTAAAAATTTTATATTATAAAAACTAATTTATTAAGTTTGTATAGTCTAATAATTACTAAATATTAAAAACTAATAAATATTTAAAACAATCTAATTAAGTATTTTGTTTTTATTTTTTTAAAAAATGCTATAAAACCATGTAATATAACTTAATACAAAAAATTAATTAAATACTATCAATAAATATTATCAATAGTCTAGATCTATTTTTTTATTACTAATAATTTTGAATCCAAGACTAAAATTTTAAAAAAACCTTTATTATTTGTAGTTATAAATCCAATGAAATTTTTTATAAAAAACAAATTTTTACTAATAGTTTAAAACTAATCTTTTGTTAGTAGTAGTTTTGAACCTGCCCTTTCATTACTAGTAGTTTTGAATCCAAGGTTAGAATCTAAAAAAGACCTTCATTATTGATAGTATGAACCCAATCCAATAAAATTTAAAAAAAATCTTTACTAGTAGTTTTAAACATGCCTTTTTACTGATAGTTTTGAACTCAAGACTAGAATCTAAAGAAGATCTTTGTTACTAATTACAAATCCAATCCAATATATATATTTTTTTTTCAAAAAAAAAACAATTCTTTACTGATAGTTTTGAACCAATCCTTTGTTACTGGCAGTTATGACATACTAAGATCTAAAAAAGACTTTCATTACTGATAATCATGAATCCAATTCATTTTTTTTTTTAAAAAAAAAATAAAAGTAGTTTTAAATCTAACCTTTTGTTATTAGTAGTTGAACACCTTTTATTACTGGTAGTTTGAATCCAAAACTAGAACTTAAAGAAAACCTTCACTACTAATAGTTATAAACCCCAATCCAACTGCCCTTTCGTTGCTAGTAGTTTTGAGTCAAAGGATAGAATCTAAAGATTTTTATTACTGGTAGTTATGAATTTACTTTCTTGTTGCTAGTAGTTTTGAATCAAATGCTAGAATCTAAAGATTTTTATTACTGGTAGTTATGAACCTGCTCTTTTATTGCTAGTAGTTTTGATCCTCTTTACTGATAGTTATAAACCAATCTAATGAAATTTTAAAAAAAAATTCTTCACTGATAGTTTTAAACCTACACTTTCAGTACAGATAATTTAAAACCCAAGGTTAGAACCTAAAAAAGACTTTCCTACTAGTAGTTATAAACCAGTCCAATAGAATTTTTAAAAAAATCTTTACCACTATTTTTAAACCCAATCTTTTGTTACTGATAGTTTTAAACCCAAAATTAGAACCTAAAGAAGACCTTTGCTACTAGTAGTTATAAACCTAATCTAATGGAATTTTTTTTATTAAAAAAAAAATCTTTGCTGGCAGCTTTGAACCAATCATCTATTATTAGTAGTTTTGAATCTGCCCTTTTGTTGCTAGTAATTTTGAATCTTAGGCTAGAATCTAAAGATTTTCATTGCTAGTAGTTATAAACCACTCTTTCATTGCTAGTAGTTTTGAATCCAAAAAGATTTTTGTTACTAATAGTTATGAACCCGCCCTTTTATTGCTAGTAGTTTTGAATCTGAGGCTAAAATTTAAAGATTCTCCTTACTGATAGTTATGAACCAATCCAATAAAATTTTAAAAAAACTTCACTGATAGTTTTAAACCTACACTCTCATTACTGATAATTAGAACCAAAGGTTAGAACCTAAAAAAGACTTTCGCTACTGGTTTATAAATCAGTTCAATAAAATTTTAAAAAAATCTTTACCACTATTTTTGAACCCACTCTTTTGTTTGAATCCAAAATTAGAACCTAAAGAAGTAGTAATTATGAACTCAATCCATTAAAAAAAAATATTTACTAGCACTTTTGAATCTATTCTTTTATTGCTGGTAGTTTTGAATCCAAGGACCGAACTTAAAAAAAAACTTTGCTACTGGTAGTGTTACTAGTAGTCTTAAACCTAAGGCTAGAACCTAAAAATATCTCTTGTTTCTGGTAGTTTTGAACTCAGGCTAAAACTTAAAGAAGATCTTGTTACCAGTAGTTATAACTCCATTCCAATGGAATTAAAAAAAAAAGATCTTTACTACTAGTTTTGAATCTGCCCTTTTGTTACTAGTAGCTTTAAATCCAAAGCTAAATTCTGAAGAAAATCTTTACTCCTTGTGGTTATAAACTCAATCTAATAGAATTTAAAAAAAACTAGTAATTTTGATCTCATTTTTTCATTACTGTTAATT